TCCTTGATTCAGTCATGATGCCGGACCCAGTTGGAGGAGGGGAGGATAAGGTAGATGCTGCGTAAGTCTACTATCAATATAAAGGAGTTCACGCGCCAGTCACCACCCCTGCTCTCACTCTGCTTTGCAGCACAGGGTGGACAGCGTTGACATCGACGGTCGAATTGCCGTTTAGGTCGGTCGGGCCGTAGGGTAAGGGGGGTGTCCGCCACTATACTCATCAGGATGAAGGATCCGCTGATTCAGGTAGCGGCAAAGACCGCCTGTTGAAATAGGCGTTTCAAGCTTGTGTCAGGGGTTATACCCTATCAAGTGCAACACTCGAAAAGATACTGTTGCGTTGACAATCCCACAACTCAAACGTGAGTAAAACAACTTGGGGTAAATATGCTTAGTCCACTTCTTGGCATTTTACCACGCAATGACCACTCTGCTTCCACGAGGAGTTCAGGGTTTTCAAAGTTCCAGTCCTCTTGTTTTTTTCGCGACATCATATATGTAGACGCCCTGCGCGCAATAACAGCAGGACCGACATTTTTTAGTGTCTCGAAAAGATTCCTAAGCAGTTCGTTTGCTAACTGAGAAGGCGACTCCTAAGCTGGAGCAGGAGTTTTATGCGAACGAAGTTTTCGGAGTTATTTGTGAGTCCATCGTCAGCGACAAAACCGACGGAGCTGGAGACACGCACCAACTGTTTCGTCATGTCCTTTTGATTTATAAATGAATTCCCACGCCTCTGGTTGTTATTCAAAATGATGAACTAGCAAGTAGCCTCCTCAGTAATATCCCTTCGAGGCCTAAAAATTCGAATCGCCCTGCGCCGATTGAGACCCGACGTATCATATTCCGAGGTGACTTTCGTTTTCAATAACTCCAACGACTTTAGCAGCCACTAACAGCACTTTGTCTCGTGTGCCAAGCAAAATACCAGACTGAAGTTTTACCAAAAACGTTTGCTTACTAAAAAGCTGAGGCACATTGGCAGTGAAAGGACCCTAAAACCAAAGCAGTCCTCCCTACATTGAACTGACATACCGTCTACCACTTTAAGTGAATTTAGGAGGAGAACTTCCATCTACAGCAGGATATCCTTGGTACTTCATTGAACTATAGGCTTTTTGTAATATACGTGAGCAACACGATCCTCATCGAAGTCGATCCTCTTCTTATCATCATCAAAAGGAATTCGGCCAATCAACGTTTAACTGCTATCTCTTCAACTTTTTTGCACTTGATATACTCGATCCTTTTCCACTCATCAACAGTAGCAACGACAGGGTGTAGGACTCACAACTAACTCGAGGTAGTCTGTGGACCGTGTCATACGTTGAATCGTGGTAAATGGAGTTTTAAGGATGGGGCAAAACACAAGACGGAGAGCAAGAAGCGAAGAAACTAGATGAATTTCTGCCGAAAGTCTTAACGTACGCTGTTAATTGGCGAAGAAAGTGAGAGCAAAAATTAAAAAATAGACAAAAAGTAATTCAGGGATGTTTTGGCAGATCTTACATAATTCATATTTGCCCAACTATGAAAAACTCGGCGCCTCGGTGGGATTCGAACCCATGACAGTAAGGGAAAGGCTTTAGTACAGCCAACGCTTTAACCACTTCAGCCACGAGCCCCCGCCGGACGACGCCAGTTTAATCACATTTGGGTCAAGCTACATGCCCAGTCTACGACAACGTCTGGAATTCACCAAATCTGATACAGTAAGCTGACTGCCCACGCAGGATTTCCTAAGTAATCCACCTAGAATCCACCAGATGACTACCAGGCTCCGAGGCGCCGAGATTTTCACAGTTGGGTCAGTATGAATTATTTAAAATCTGCCAGAACATCTTTGCGTTACGTGAGCCTGGTAGTCATCTGGCGGATTCTAGGTGAATTACTTAGGAACTCCTGCTTGGAAGGGAAGAAAATACCAAACAATGATAACGGTGAATAACAAGTGATGTTTACAGTCACACTGAATTTGATGGTATATTTTTGTAAATGCCACGTACATGTAGATTCTACACCCTGTCGTCACCTCAACCGCATCTCTGGAATCGTGAAAAGACTCCAGTTCCCCTCCATGACTGTCTTTCCCCCTTTCTTTATAAAAGGCTCCACTTTCTAGTGCTAATGCCACTTACAATATTTTCTGACGCCAAACCTTTTTTTACCATTCAGTCAATCATATTCATGGATTGCCTTTTCTTTGGAATACCTGAAAAGTAGTAGATGGGTAATCTGAAATTCTTTTTTGAAATACCCCTGAGACTACTAACAATCAGCAATACCAACATTTCATCTCTTGTTGCGCCTGAAGAAAACGCTAGAACATCTTGCAGTCGAGGTTCTCAAACTTCTGCTGCAGGAGGTCTTTTTGAATGCGGATGAGTGCCACCCGCAGAGTGGGAAAACTTCAAAGGGGCAGACGCCTGCAAGAAGGAGTTTCTGCGCTGGGGCGTCATCATGTGAACGCAAGTGACGCGCCTGTACGTCGCCAAAAGTACCCTGTTTGTCCTCAGACAGCCCCGTAAGGTTCATAGGCAAGGCGAGAAAATAGCAGACGCGGGTGACTCATGGGTTGCCAGGCCTCTCCTTACCTGCGTAGTCGTGTTCAGAAGCCGAAAGCAGGGGTGAACGCCGAGAGCTTTGCTTGGGTTTTTACCGCCACCACTTTGCTGAGGCCTGCCCCGCGTCATCCGACAGGCACCAGCTTTAAGAGGAATCATCAGCCAACACCCACATAGAGGGCAGCAAGTGACCTTCGATGAAGTAGAGTGCTTGCCGTTCAAATCACATTACCCAAGTCGGCCTAGTGTAGGAGGTTTGTTAATAATCCACCAAATGAGTACGAGCCGGGCTAATATATTTGGAGCAGGTAGATAACTAACTCGCAGTTAGAAAGGATAAAGGACAACAGCTGGACCACTCCTCGGTTTCCAAGTTTTCACGGTGATGGAAAAAGGCCAGATCCTACCACTGAAATCATTGTTTTTCGCTTAAAAGAAGGAGGAACAGCGCACTTCTGCCTGATAAATGCAAAATCTGTCTTTTGGAGCTGAAAATACACAGTACATGTTGATAAGCCTAATACAAGGCTTTTGCCACATTTTGTAATCAGATAGAGGTGGAATGTTCGACCGTCGTTGCCAACGATGTCTACAGTGTGCTCCACTGCAAAGTGAAAGAGGCACAGTGAATTGCACGGGATTTAGTTTGTAGTGAATGAGGGCTTGCGCTGCGTCTACTGCACTCTCTCCTCCCCCACCTGGGCTCGGTGTTAAAACAGAATCTGGAAGACCGGAAGCGGGGAAGGGTGCAGAGGTCTGGCGCGGACGGACCCGCACCCGGGCGTGCCGCCGCATCCCCTGGTCCACAACAAATACATGACCAGAATTTTAACCAATAACAAGAGGGTATGGCGCGGCCGTAGTCGCACCAAGGCGTGCCATCACATCCGGCTCGCCTTCCACGGAGCAGGAGGAGCCATTGCAGCCTGACTCTTAGACCACCAGTCGGCCGCTCCACACAAACACACAACACTCGGCCGACTGCGAGGTCCAAGTTATCCCGTCAGTTGGAAACCTTCCAAGCCAGGGCATTTAGCGCACTGTGAAAGCATCAGGCGCGTCAGATTGTTTATAGTGAGGAGGAAAATGCGCTGAGTCGTCGACCTCACTCTTCTATCCCATTTGCAGGCCACAGTTACTGTCCGAGCCGGTCAGTTGACAGGTGCAGGGGAGGGGCGCGGTGGCTGACACATCTAGTGACCTTATCTGCGCGCGCCATATGCGCGACCTGCCCCCCCCCCAAACACAAGCACCAGGATTTCACACGACGGGGTTGGGCGGCGTACATCTCACATGCGTGAGAGTGCCGTAGGTCGTGGCTCTCAGTCCACCGGTCTGCCACTCTGACAGTTCGAAAATGGTGTGCAAGAAAACAAGGTGCAGCAGGCACGACGACTTGCATGTGAACTGGTTTATAGTGGATGTAGACTTGCGCAGCATCTACCGCACTCTCTCTTCCCCACTCCCCACCTAGACCCGGTCTCAAAACAGGGTCAAAAAGACCGGAGGCGGGGGAAGGCGTGGGTGGCCGGCGTGGCCGGTACCGCACCTAGGCATGCCACCCCATCAATTCGTCCACAACATACACTTGACTAGGACTTTTCACCAACAACAACAACAACACCCCCAACAGGAGTCAGAAGGACGAGGATGACTGGGCAGCCATGCCCACCACTTGTACACCCAGCGGGAGCTCAAGCAGGGAACCAGGTGTCAGGGAACTGCCAGTGCATACCAGGCTTCGAGGGCCTTGGTTTGCTAATGCTGGCACAGCACACGCTTTCAGACCTTTGTGACCTAGAAGGGCGACATCTGAGCCTGCATTTAGCCTGAGCCGTCACCTTTCAGGGTTGGGTAAGTAAATAGTCGTCGACTGAGAGGCACTACACATAAAGCTCACACACAAACACAAACACTCTTCTCACATGCATGAGAGTGTCACAGATCGCTTTAGAAGGGGCCGTGGCAGTCTGGCTCTCAGCCCACCAGTCCGCCACTCCACACAATACACACAACTGAGCAGACTGCATAGACTGATTTGGGGCATCACTCGGTTGGCTTCCGATTCACGGTGCTCGACGCACCTTATTCGTCTCAGACTCGGATCACACATACAAGAAGCGAGCCGCATGGAGATGGAGCCGAGACGCACACTACCTGCTTGCGTGGGAGGTGGCAGTTGGGTGCTTGCGGTGGGTAATGTTGATGTGCAGTGAGGCGCTGGTGAGGGAGGATGTGCTTGAGTTGGTTTGGCTGGCGGTGTCTACCGCGCCTTCCGGTAGACGTGCATGTGGCCGAAAAGGCCCATGCGGCGCATGAATGTGCGATGGCAGTGCGGACAATGGATGCGGACGCGGCGAGTGTAGGTTGTTACTCCAGGCACTGGCTTGCCGGTCGCTGTGAGATGGATTTACAAGTGACCGACCTGACGGATGCTTAAGGTGAAGGCGCGAACACAATGAGGACAGGTATAGACCAGGCTCTCATCTGTGATATCGACGATGGTGATGTTGGTGTTTGTTGGTGTTGACGTTGCGGCGGTAGAGGAGGAGGAGGAGGATGGTAGTGGTGGTTCGGGAGGCGGTCAACGTTAGTTGACGGCGTGGGAGGCTGGGGAGAGGTGGACGAAAAGACGACGATTGGTGCAGTCTGGGTGCCACAATTGGTCCAGAGGTGTCTATCTAGTCCATCTGAGGCCCGGAATGTCCGTTGACATCGTGAACGCGTTCGGGGTGACTGAGCGTTGGCGTTCTGAGGTGGCGGCGGCGGCGGCGGCGGCGGTAGTTGAGATTTGCGTGTCTCACTTTTGGCTTTGGCGGCGGTGATGCGAGTGGCTTCGCTGTTCTCCTCCACGTAGGTCGGTCCCGAGCGAGGTCTCCCCAGTTTGTTGGGTTGATCTGCAGGCGCCTCAGGTAGGTTTTCAGGGTATCCTTGTAGCGCCGCATTTGACATCCTTGTCGGCGTGAGCGCGTCGCGACATCTCCATAGGAGCGTACCTTGGGTAGTCTTTCGTCATCCATCCGCACGCGGTGGCCGTTCCAGCACAGTTGCAGTTGTCTCAGCACGGCGTGGATGCTGAGGATTCCCGTCTGCTCCAGTACGTGCGTGTCGGGGATCCGGCCCTTCTACCTCAGCTACAGTATTCGACGAAGACGGCTGAGGTGGAGAAAGTTGAGGCTACTTGCCTGCTGTATGAATCAGAGCTCGCCCGTCCCTTTCTGAGCTAACGGGTTACTGAAATATAAACGATGTGTAGACAAATGCAACAGAACGGCATTTAGCTTACAGTAAGGACAGACACAAACATGCAGCCAAAGACAGCAGAAGGCAAGGCCAGCAGAGGAAATTCATCAGAGTGGCATTTATCTCTCAACAAACGCCAAACACAGACAAGCAGACAGAGAGCAAGCAAACAAGATTAAGCGAAAGCAAAGGCAGCAAATCAAATTTCGCTTAACTGGGGGTTCACTTACCTTGTGGCCTCCAACGGTGTTCCAGATGGAACCTCATCTCGGAGCGGTGGTCCATCCGCTCAGCGGAGCCGAGCTTACCGTGTGTGGAGATGTGCACACGGGTACCCTCACCTGGTTCAGCCCGCCGGTCGGGTTGGTTACCGGCGTGTGGCCGCTAGATAGGGCATAGCTTCGGGGAGACACATGTGAAAGTTGGGTGCCAGTTAATGGACTCCAGGCGTAGTCTACGCCTGCAAGCAAGTGAGCGACCTACTACGACCATTACGTAAACCCACAAATGGACACGCCTACCGCTTGCGACGGAATGTGTATAAGGTATCACGCACCCTGAAAGTGGCCAGGTGGAAAGCTCGGGACAGAACCCGCGACCGTTTCGAATGTCCTTCTGGTGGTCCGAAACAGGAGAGCTGCAGTGAATAGGCAGCCTCAGCCTCAGGGCAGCGCGAAATCTGAACGGGCAAAAAACTTTGGTAAGTGTTGCCGAACTTAACAAGGGAGCCCATCGCGGTCATTTAGTATTCGTTTGTTGGTATCAGCCAGCTGTAACCCGATCCTGCAGAATAAAGCTCAGGAATAACACCCGGGTGCATTGATGCTTGTGCCCTTATGACAAACGCTGCACGCTGGGTAAAAAAACTGAAAATAGTTGGTTTCAGAAAGCAAGTTTGCCACCTATCATGAGTAATACATTGAGCAACCAGCAGTTTTTCAAGTTTCACCTCGAACAAAACCGTAGTGCTCCATTGTTTAGCTTTCGGGGATGTTTTTTCATATCTGCAAAATAAAGCAGGCCTGACTTGCAAAATGAGTCTTGTTATTCAGCAAAATAAGACAAAGTGCAGACGAAGAGGGTCGTATCTCTTCATATGAAGAGCCAAAGGGACTACAAGCAGTCGCGTGGATTATTTTAGGGAGATCGTGGGCCTGTGAACTTTACATGTCTACAGTCCTCTCAATCTCATTTATGGAACTTTTCTGCTTCTTTCTTTTCCGTAATAAAATGAATAACTTGGATAGTCCTATAAAACAAACATGAGTACATACTGTGTCCTGATGAGTGTCCAAGATGAGTGTCCTCTTGCAACTAAACTAAATATGGAGTTGAACGAAACGATCTTATTAAATATCTGCCCTTTTACACACTCACATTGACAGATACAGTAGGATTAAAAAAAACATTTCTAGAAACGTTCAGTTCAAAAAATATCCTGACCAACGGCGTCCTAACTCAAGGCATCAGTCGCAAATTTGATGCATAATTTCGTCTCACTCAGGGGTGTGTTGTCCTTCAAAGTGCTAACAGTCGTAAAACAAATTGTCGTGATGCTAATGGAAAAAAATAGTGAAACAGTGTGGTCATAAAACGGATTATTAGTCATGGCAGAAAGATTCAAGGATAATCAAGGACTTTGATTTTCAATAATTGTCAAAGGCGTACATTAGCGGCGCGTTATTGTTTAACCGTGTGATCTGTTACATTTAATTCAATACGTTTCAAGGTCTTGCAGCTGAGTTCGCGATAGCAGATCAATACGCAGTGCGAAAACTGGTACTGCTCATGGGTCTCCCTATGTTCTCCTTCTCAAACGCGCCAAAGTTCACGTGGCATCAGCACCCAGCATGCCACGTGCGAGACGCCTTGATGTCGCAAAAGTCTGACAACCGAGCACCGCCAACGCCCTGAGCACAGAAATCCGGTCCCGTTATACGACCTGAGCCGACGTAGAAGGTAGTAGTCATCAGTTTAAGGGGCGGTGGAAAAAATTCTTAGATTTACCCGGCGGGGCCACAGTGACTGGATCAGCAGGAGAATGTGACAGTCGTCTGCCCAGATAACTCACGTCAGGTCCTGCAACGATGCTTCCCCAAACTCCGGAGAATGACACCAAAGGTGGCTGGAGATGACCGGCGGGAATATCGGGCTGAAACAGTGACCTCGATGGAGCGGGTCGCAAACGTTGCTGACATTCGGCAACCCTACCAAATTATCCACCAAGTTAGTTGTGCGAAGTCACGGCCCACTTGGAGCCATCGAAGATGCGGTTAACTCAAATGCTGATTCGACACAGTCCGTTAAGACAAAAGTGGCTGTTGGACCTTCGGTATTCGGTGTCTGTCGTTGTCCAGAGCCGCTGTCGCCGATCGTCGTACGTGGAGAGGCACAGCCCGTGATATAATCGGGGCCGGCTAGAGCAGGCGTGACCACAGCTGCGCCAAGTACAATGTAGTAAATTCATGCCTAATCTTCTTCCCTTTGCTCATCTTAGTAATTCGTCTTTGCAGCCACTTGCAAGATTTGAATTTTCTGCTCCAAATCTGATGATACTTTCTTATTTGCGGATCTCCAATAAGTAGTTTCGATGGCAAACGTCTGGGTTCGAACAACCTATCTTAAGTCATAATCTAGAATCGACGTCTTCAAGGTCAAAATAGAACTTTGAACAGAGCGCTGAAGTCAGCTGGACGATCAAGGCATTAGCGAGAGCCCCAGCAAACCTGTAAAGCGGAAGGAATATTAAAAATGCATGGACAGATACCTGGCTCTCTGTTATATGTGAAACATACACAGGACTTTCATCTTTGCCCTTGGTGAGAGGCTTTCTAATGACGGAATCCGAAAACGAAGTGAAAAGTCGTCAGTCGTAAAAATAAACGAATTTGTTCAACTTGATGAAAGGCTAACGGTAGCAGGTATTCAGAGCACCATATTTTGTGGAAAATAAATCTTATTTTAATCTAAGACGAAATTTGTTTCTTATCAGGTGACTAAAATGAATGCCCGCAGTCTAAATCACGGGCAATATTCACAGTAGACAGATGCAAAATGACGAAATAATCACACCGTTTTATGCTGAAGGAAACTTGAGAAACATAGTAGAAGGCAAATCACTTTGCAGATCCTGTTCGAGTTTTTTAAACAAGTTAAAATTTGACTGGATTCATACAGTTACTTTTGCGCATATGGATACCTACGACCGTTATAGAAACTGGAAGGCTTATGGCATATCTGAAGTTGGTTTTATACCAGGCAAGCTCACGAAATACGCAGTAATAAAATAAACTTCACAAAGGCCTGGAGTCAAAATACCAATACCAACGTACGCTGCTGCTTCGTGCAAAAGCTAGAAATCGGTGTCTGAAACTGAAGAGCGAGCTGGAATTAACTCTGGATGTTAAAAGAATTCATTCTATCACCACATGCTTTGGGCTGATAAGTGAGAATAACCGGTCCGACATCTTTTTCCTGGTTAAAATGTACTCAACACTAGAAGTGAGTATGGAAGAACCTCCCGAATACCGACAAGTTAACTGGGCCCAAAGGATCCCCTTCCTGGTAAAAAGCCTGATGCGAGTGGTGGCTCCTGCTGCTGTATACAGGAGTACTTTGTGGCACCTGCGAAAAGACACGTTCGTGGGTTCCATCAAAGATGACGGTAAAATTTGACTAGCATAGAGAGCTCCTTTGCGTCCGAACCTTTCAGATTTAAAACAAGGTTGCGAGATGGGAGTGAACAGCGCTTTCGCTGTGCTGTTCATTGCAATAGAAATA